TAGTTTTAGTCAAAGGCCTCATTTACCTGGTGTTGACTGGTGTGTACGGGTTGAAGAAGTCCTGAGCCACGCGGTGCCCGTACCACGAGGTGCCCACCAAGGCAGCAAACCCTGTAAGTCAGGAGACAAAGGCAGAGGTGGTGAGTCACTTTGGAGAAGACTTAGAAAGAGGGGCAAACAGGGGAGACATGGGTGCACAACCACAAAGGGTCCGGTGGGGACCTGGAGTTTGCATTAGACAGCAGACGACCGTCACCGACACAAGACTAGCGCTATTTCACTTTCTACTGAAATAAGTGCTTTTTTCTATTGGTGTGGCCTGATGATGTGGACAGGATTCTTGGAGAGGTGAAGGCCACCCCATGTGTGTCCTGCTGGACCCTTGCCCTTCCTAGCTCATAAAAGCAGCCAGAGGAGGAACGGCCGATTGGGTACGGGGAGTGGTAAATACCTCCTTGCAGCAGAGTAAGATCCCTGCTTCAAATAAGTGCTTTTTTCTATTAGTGTGGCCTGATGATGTGGACAGGATTCTTGGAGAGGTGAAGGCCACCCCATGTGTGTCCTGCTGGACCCTTGCCCTTCCTAGCTCATAAAAGCAGCCAGAGGAGGAACGGCCGATTGGGTACGGGGAGTGGTAAATACCTCCATGCAGCAGTGTAAGATCCCTGCTTGCTTAAAGGAGGCACTACTGAGGAAGCCCTCCATGGGTAACTATCGGCCAGTCTCAAACATCCCATTTTTTAGGCAAGCTACTTGAGCGTGGGGTGGTTTCTCAGCTCCAGGGATTCCTGGAGGAAGCGTATTCGCTAGACCAGTGGCCCCCAACCTTGGGCCTCTAGATGTTCTTGGACTACAATTCCCAGAAGCCTTCACCACCACCTCTGCTGACCAGGATTTCTGCGAGTTGAAATCCAAGAACATCTGGAGGCCACTGCTCTAGACCCATTTCAATCTGGTTTCAGGCCTGGCTATGGGACAGAGACAGCTTTGGTCGCCTTGGTGGATGACCTACGCCGGGAACTGGACAGGGGGGAGTGTGTCCCTGTTGGCTCTGCTGGACCTTTCAGTGGATTTCGATACCATCGACCGTGGTATCTCTGGGATGGGACTCGGAGGCTCTGTTTTATAGGGGCTCCAGTCCTTCCTGGAGGGGAGAACTCAGAAGGTGGTGCTGGGTGACTCCTGCTCAACGCCCTGGCCCTTGGCCTGTGGCCTTCCTCGGGGTTCTGCTTTGTCACCCATGCTTTTTAACATCTACATGAAACCACTTGGAGAGGTTATCCAGAGTTTTGGGGTTTGGTGTATGTGGATGACACCTAAATCTATCTCTTCTTTCCACCTAATTCCAGGGAAGCTGTCTTGACTCTAAATCAGTGCTTGGCCTCAGTCATGGGCTGGATGAGGGCAAACAAACTGAAACTTAATCCAGACAAGACAGAGGTGCTCCTGGTCGGTCGGAAGGCAGTCAGAGGGAATAGGGATACTATCTGTGCTGGATGGGGTTACACGCCCCCTGAAAACTCAGGTCCGCCGCTTGGGTGCACTCCTGGATTCATCCCTAAGCAGTGGCCAGGAGTGCATTTGGACAGCTAAAGCTGGTGCGCCAGCTGCGCCCGTTCCTTGAGATGTCGGATCTGGCTACAGTGACGCATGCCTTAGTTCCACCCCGTTTGGATGACTGCAACGCGCTCTGTGTGGGGCTGCCTTGGAAACTTCAGCTGGTGCAAAACTCTGCAGCCAGACTGCTGACTGGGGCCAGCTATAAGGGAGCCTATAAGGCGCCTATTACAAGAACTGCACTGGCTACCGGTCCGTTTCCGGGCCCAATTCAATGTGCTGGTCTTTAAAGCCCTCTACAGCTTGGGTCCAGGCTACTTGAAGGACCGTATCTCCCTATATGGGCCTTCTCAGCAATTGAGATCAGCAGAGGAGGCCCTCCTCTCGGCCCCATTGCCAGCCCAAGCCCAGCTGATGGGGACACGGGAGAGGAGGGCCTTCTAGGTGGCTGCTCCCAGGCGATGGAACGCTCTCCCTCGGGAGATCAGGA